AAGCTACCGAGCATCTGAGGAAAGTACTATGGGCAAGCAGGAAGACTCGCAGTGCAGTACGCCACTGGGGCGCTGGATGTCAATGTTCAACTTCTATTGATGTCGATAAGCAAAACCCGACCGTGACCTGCGGTGAGTATACGGCTTGTATCCCTGCAATGTAATTTAGACAATCCACAAGGCGGCGGCGTGTGTGTAAAGTCAGTACGAAGGGGTTACTACAATGCCAAAACTGATACTGGGTTGCTAATGAATAGCATTCCGATTTTTCATGCATACCTGAACCCAATACAGAAAATTATGAGCGCCATCACGTTTGATAGTGGGTTTGGTATACAGTGCCATGCAGCGTTTTCTTCATCAACCGTGTTGCTGAAGGATTCTGCTGCGAGTATGACTGTGCAGTAGCAGGCCGACATACAGTTCGTTCTGCTTTCTATTGTTACTACTATCATCTAAACCCCAAACCCTTAAGACTATTGGCGTTTCGCAGCATGACCCTGTAGAATCCTGAATAGGGATGCAAAGATTCCTTTTCAACTGGAATGTTTTTGAAACTAATCTTGCTTTGGACAGCAGTTCCTATATTACATGCGCGGTTGCGCTGCTGATACTGGATGAAACGATTGGCTGGAACGGCCGCAGGTAGCTTATGCGGAGGTTCTAGGGGTCCCCCCCCATAGGGATTCTACAGTTTTTAAGGCTAAATCCTAAATCCTAAGCCTCAAGGTTTAGGGTTTAAGATTAAACACTAGGCACGCCGCCAAGGCTGCCGGTTGGTGTCAGTGACGACGATATCTCAGTCAGTGTGTCCTCTACCCATCTCGTCGAGGCGTGCCCAGGGTTTTTCCTAGAAACAACCAAAAGGTTCACGAAACAGGGGTTTAGGGTTTAGGGATTAGGGTTTAGGGTTTAGGGTGACGAGGAATAGGGATTAGGAGGGCCACCAGATACCAACCTCCCAAACCCTCCCCTCCCCCACGTCCCAGCAATAGATATCTAACCCGAATGCATAATGCCTGCTTGACTTATACCCCTAAACCCTAAACGGTAAATCCCAAATAGTAGTTTCCATTTTCTTCTTCCCTTCCCCAATATCCCCTAATACATCCCTATATAACCCCTTTATACCCCCTATAAGACGTGAGGAGGGGATGGGGAGGCTCATTGAGGTCGGCAGAGCAGACCTTAAGCATTCATAAGTAACAAGGCGGATCATCGTGTCTTCATGTTCAAAGCCTTGTGTCGACTGCTGTGTGAGACGCCACCTGCATTATTATGGAATGCTAATATCGGTGCCCTTGCTAAACTGGATGCAGTATGTTCCACACGGGTGTCCGATCCTCAGAACATGGTCATCTTTCAAAAGCGTTAGAACGTTCTGCATGGACGGTAGAAGGTATGGTTCCGCCAGCTGGAGAAGTACAGCTTACAGGGTTTGGTAGATCTGTAGGAGGCACCTACGCATCGCTTGTTGTCTTCATATGCATGGAGGCACCGCAATAACTGCCGTAATACATTCCAAATTATACCAGGAAATGCCAGATAGCCAGCACCCTGCACAGCCCCCGGACAACGCCCTGAGCCGGAAACTGCTTGCCGACCCCTCTGTCTATACATATATGCGGGGTTCCCAAAATTATGGGCACCTCTTCGAGGCTATAGTGTTTTGGGATCTGTATTGGGGGTTTAGGGTTTAGTGTCTTGGGATCTATATTGGGTCGCTCTTTTATTCGGGGAAACTATCAAATAGATACATAGAAAGGTAGGCAGATTGAGTGATAGCATGTTCCACATGTGAGCTGTCAATTCTCAATGAAATCCTCTGCTGCAGTCAAATACATAACCCTAAACCCTAAACAGTAGTTTCCATTTCCTTTTCCAATACAACCTGAATATAAGGATTTCTGGCAATACTAATTATGAAGCCATCTGCTTAGTCAAATCCATTATTCGCAGGCGCAGCTCGGGAGATTGAAAAAGATTGAATTTCAAATGGGGTTTTCCCACATTAGGGGTACCTTTTTGGGGGTCGCCATGATAAGGATCATAGTATTTTGGGGGTTTATATTGGGGTCCCCCTATTTTGGGAACCTACTCAATCTCCGGGATCCAAGATCCCCGATTTCCCAGGAGGTCTTTCAAAGCAATCCTGGATCCCAGTCTGGGGCCCTGGGGAGATTGAAAAAGTTTAGAGTTTCAATCTCCAGGATCCAAGGTCCAAGATTCCCAGGAGGTCTTTTTAGAGAATCTTGGGTCTTGAGCTCTGGATATTGAAATTCAATCTTTTTGAGTTTCCTGAGCTGCTGGCATATTCAACCAACGTCATCCGGAAATCTAAATCTTAATCTGACCGGCAATTTACTCACTCATTTACTTGCTCACTCGCACACTCAATGACTTAGTCACGCACTCACCCACTCATACACCCATTAACTCACCTACCCACTCATACACACTCACTGACACGTGGCAAGGCAACGCAGAACATCAACGTAGCTAGCCAGTAGATTGGCTAACTACTTTACTACTCGACATGCATGCCATGTGAGCTTGCTCGTGCTATATGGCAGCGCGCTCATCTTAAGGGCTCTTTACGACGTTTAGCGTTCAAACCCTAAACCCTAAACCCATTCCCACTATTCCATGATGGCTCAAACTGCCGGGTTGGTTCCTGAATCCTGTTATATACTTCGCGTATTCCGTTATCCCGTAATACTGGCTTGTTATACATATGATAGACGGCTGATATAACCATAAGTATCCGTTCTGACGGGCTTTTGCTGCAGGTGGTTTGGCTGCCTATATAAATGATTTTGCAACTATGAATTTACAGGAAAATTCTGCGATCCTGGTCTCCTGATCCGTAAATCAAACCTTGACTGCATGTGCGTCAAATCTAAAGATAGATTTTACAGGCCTGGGCTCTTTTCTTGGTATATGTCTCTCTTACTAACTGTGCTCAGAATTCAGCAAGGAATTCACAAATGCTGGGCTCTGGCCTTTGTACACATGACATATTATTCAAAGACGGATTCTCAATGTCTGAGCTCGTGACTTCGTTTATAGAAACTCTGTCGTGAATGGGTTTTGACTTGAATAGACAAGTCTCGGACTCCTTGTCTCTATATAAAATACACCTTTTATGTTTGCTCTGAATCTAGCGGATAATTCTTAGATCCTGGTCTAATTTTTCTATATCAAATTCTACTACATGAGGGTCATATGAGTCACATTCGAAGATGAATGGAGAAAGTCCTGGGCTTCTTGTTTTCTCTATTTAGGTCCTTTACTAAGGGCTTTTAGGAATTAATGAGGCATCCTCAAATCTTGGGCTCTTGCCCTGGCATGTAAATGTATATATGTATATGTATATATATGCAGATATATAGAACATTTGCCAACTTCGCCTTGAATTAACAAGCCGAGAGATGTGAGCTTTGTTTTTCTTGTATCTTCCTGGAGTTCATTTCTTGAAACGCAAAGAAAGTGTGTGAAAAAACATGCACGGAGCCTTGCCGAAGCTCCAGTTGATGCTTCTGAGTTTCTATGCGATCAGAAGAGACACCTGCAAGGACCGCAAGGAACTGGAGTTTTCATTTCTCTCAAGTCAGTTGTATCTCTCTTGCATCTTTCTTGCAAAGACGAGAGAAGTCTGCTTTGGTTCTCTACCAGAGTTCTAATTAGAGAGTTCTTGGTCGTTTTGGGCTTTATGGAACGATTGCATTCCCTGTGCTTATAGACGACAATGTTCCTGAAGAATCTCACTCACAAAGGCTTCTGGATGTTTAGTGCGGAGGCCCATTATGATTAGTTGTGTGCACTTCTTGCTACGACTCGTACAGATTTCTATAGCAAGTGTTCCGAAGCTTAGCAAAGGTTAACGCCTAGGGTCATGTGTCTTGGAGCCTAAAAAATGTTAATCTTTAGGGTGAGGGGGGAGGGGGGGGGGCACATTTTTTCTTATGAACCCCAGTAGCTCTGCTTTCTGAGAAAACAACAAAAGCAATTAGAATGATAACAGACATAATATACACCAGTACATAGGGCCCCACCCTCAACTTGGATGATCCTTTGGCTTCGTAAATCTACCTACTATCCCTACTAACCTCCATTATAAGCCCTATAACCCAAGTTACTAAGCAGAGTTACTAAGTCGAGAGATCCTCCAAGAAGGACTTTGCCCTCGAGAGCAAAGAATGTTCGATTCGTGGATGCCCGAGCATCTGGACGTGGCGAACTATTGGCCTGCCTCTTGGAGGCTTCGGGGTTGCTGTTAAGGAACTTATTTGTGCTTACCTTTTCGTGGGTGGATAGTAAATAGTACAGTAGGGAGTCCTTATTACAGTAAACCTAAGCCCTGTACCCTATATGCCCCCCATTATAGTAACTTAATATATATAATCGCCCTTAAGTAGACAGAATACGGTTTCGGGTATATTATAACAAGATCCCATATACCCTATATTCTATCTACTTAAGAGGGACTAGAACCCTGAACCCTGCAACCCCGCAACCCAGGCTTTTTCCTGGCCTTCTTGAACTCCATTGCACTGAGCATCTTGCTGTCTGCTAGCAGGGGATGGGGCAAACCCTAACCCAAACCTTAAACCCTAGACCCAAACCTTACAAACCCTAAACCCAACGGGTGGCTGTAGGGTTTGGGGCCCCTATATAATCCCCAGGAACAGTTTCCACTATATTCATAACATTAAATGCGAAGCAGTACACTGGTATGAATTTTCTTTCCCATTAAACCCGAGAGTCGTCCATCTGTTTTTCATTCCCTATATATCTATATAATTCTGTATATATGACCCGTAGTTTGAAATCCAAGTTCCCGTTGATTCTTCATGATGGTAGTTTCCATTTTTCATTCCTTCATTACCATCTTATTCCTTCCCACCGAACCCTTATTCCCAAAACCCAAAACCCTGCAGAATCCCTATATACTCCCCACATAATAGCAAGGTGTAGGCTACGGCTTCTTCCTCGGCTACATGGGGCTGGACTCCTACGTGGTTTTGTCCATTAACGCCCTCATGAAGCTGCCGCAGGTGTTGCTTCTCCCGTTTGGCATGATGAATGACTGCTTCCCCATCTTCGGCCAGCACAGGAAGCTTTGGGGTTTAGGGTTTAGGGTATACAGTTTAGGATTTAGGGTTAGGATTTTGGCCAGAACAGGAAGCCCTACTTCGTGGCATCCTGGATCCTTGCCGGCAGCGCGCTGATAGTGATGAGCGCCCGGCCACTTCCTGAGCCCTACTACTGCCAGCACCTGGGTTGCTGTTAAGGAAC